CAGTGTATGGGAGTCTGAAGGTTTTTATTTCAAAAAATAGTGTTCTGTGAAAACCTAAGCATGTCCATGCCATAGGACTGTTGGATACGATGGGCCACTCAGCCTTGCTGCCAGTCTTTTCCAACGGCTAACTTGCAGTATTGCAACAAAAAAAAACCTCCCTGGTGGCCCAAAGGACGTTTTCCTAAAAGATCATGATTGTAAAAGAGCCAGCTGTAAAACAGATACAGGACGACTCCAACTGCAAGGTGTGGCTTTATTCTTTTCCCAGCGCCTAGTAAATGCGTTTTATTGATGTGACATCATCACAGTTGAACCTGAGGCAGGGCCAATGGAGAAAAACTGAATGAATGTGCACTACTTGAAAACTACTGTACATGAAAGCAAACCTGCAAGCTGGAAAATGTTTGGCTAAGGCACAGTCCAAGTATTTTTATTTCAGTGAGCAGGCATGAGCAATTAGACAATTAGAAAATTGACCAAAAAATGCTTTCTCGGTCTGTTGAATTGGAGTTCTCACTTTAAACTAGTAGTACATTATATGCATTACCACACGTTATATGAAGAAGGGGCATTATTTCAGAGCTCAAAGTGTTTTGCTGAGGAATGCTGACATGAGATGAGTCAGACAGAGAAAATGCTCTTCCCCTTATCAGTGCTGACGTCTCACTATCTTTACTTGATGTTTAGCTTTCCATGTTTTAGACCAAATATGATGTTCTCTCACTCCAAGGTCTTCTTTTGCATTGATGCACTGTTTAGAGCAGCTTTATGTTCACATTTTTACTGCTAAATCATAGTTTTTTCAAGGGACAATATTCACTGAAGATATGCCGGATTAGATTTATGTTCTCTTGTCAACGTAGAATGTTTAATTAATTATTTAAGAGTGATTTATAGAAATACTACGCCTAGAAAACCATGTGTTATGTTATGTTATGAGCTAGGGGAAGAGGGGAGTAACAAGAGCAAAACAAAAACCGGGTTAAAGGGACCAGGAAGCTGATTGTTCAGCAAAAAGTCAGGTTTATTTTACAAACAAACGAAAACCAGAATGCAAATAAGAGCGAGCTTCCTGAAAACGAAGCTGATCCTACAATTAGCAAGCAACACAACAACCACAGAGCATAGGGTTAAGCCGGACCCAATACCACAAACGCCACACAGCTCTGTCTACAGATCTAGCCCACTGGCCACGATAATCAGGTTGGCTCAGCTCTTTAACCGTCTCGTGATGATTGCAGAGCAGCTGTACCTGGCCACTCCTTCTAGGCATCACCTGAAATGGAACTACACAAACTGCACATCAATACTCAGCACCAAGGGCCATAACACAATGTTTTATGGTTCTAAGGTAGCGTTTTAGTGGAGAACAGCAGCTGTAATCAGGTTGTTCCCACAAGGGTGGAATCTCATAAAAAGTGTCTAATTTGTGTCACTACTAAACTAAAAAGGACCTTCGCACTTTCGAAACGTCTCTTGCCGATTCTTTGGGACCATGCACCACACTCGTTCCAAATGCCAGCTACTCAGAGGTGGAGGAGGAGAGCATGACACTTTACAACAACAACTGCAGTCCAGCCCACCACCAGTACATCATCGTCAAATTTGTGGACAGCACTACAGTGGTGGGACTAATACCAAGGGGAGACAAGTCTGCCTAGTGGGATGACATCCTGAAATTAACAGCATGGTGTACATCCAACAACTTGATGCTTAACACCTCAAAACAATGGAACTGATCCTGGACTTCAGGAAGCAAAATTCTAAATGTAAGTGAATAGGAGTCTGACTGTTTGTCTCTAAGTGTAGCCCTTTGATAGATTGGGGACATGTCCAGGGTGTCCCCTTCCTTCTGCCTAAATCAGCTGGAATAGACTCCAGCCTAATGGATGATCAGTTTCTTTTAACATTTGAGGTTTTACTTTCAAAGTGTACTTCACAGAATCCTGCAGACTTCCTGTAAATACCAGTGTTTTTCATGGGCTACTGAATTGAGACTTTTAAAAACAAAAAACAACAACTACAAAAGAACTGTTCATTGAGCTCTATTAATGGACATGGATTCTTATTTTGAAAGTTAATCCAAACTTGCAGATGACTTGTCTATCAATATGTGTGTCAGAGAAAGAGACAGAAAGAAGTGCTGCCTGATAAGCTCAGTGGGAGGCTTTATTTTGACAGTCTACCACAGTTGGAAACCACAAGGAGCAGAGTTTATTTTTGAAAAAGTCAGTATATATCAGAGTCCCTGGTAAGCCTTTTCTAGTGTTTCAGAATTGTTATTTTGATAGCATACCTCAGTGCATCTTTGTTTTTAGATAACTAGGGGGTTTTTACTTTGAAAAGCCCACATCCATGAATTTCCTCCAGTCAGTCTTGTCAAAACCTTGTTCAACAACATGCAGCTGCTATAGATCTTTAAACGACTGTTTCCTGGGAGAGAGTCTTGTATGGAAGTTTAATCCAGCATATATGGAGCCACTAAACACTGTATAGCTGATGGGTATTGGTCTGGGACATGTTAGAACATGTATCAAGTCTTTGTTAATGTCATTAGTAACAGTGGTGTTGATTTGCCTTGAAGTTGCTGTTACATTTATCCTGCTAACAGAGCCACTATAACATTACAGATTGTTGACGAAGGCAGCTATATTTGGAGTTCCTCTTTCTTAGTCCAGTATCAGTCAGCCAGTCACCTGTAAGACACTGATAGCTGTAGTGATTCCTGCCTCTTCAGTGGGTGCAGAGAGAGCGGCAGCCATACTAAGTATTAGCACCATTGAACAATCGCTCACGGCTTGAAAAATATAAGTTGTATCAAAAAAATTCTTTCACTGTGTGAAGCACAATCCTGTTTTGAACAAACTGATGTATTTCCATACACGTACTGTATATTTTATAGATTTAGTGGCAGGTTAGAGAGGCTCACCACTTCTGATTTTCACACAAAATTGTAGAGCACAGATATAATGGAAGTCAGTGAGAGTTTTGGTCAGCATGTGTTCTGAGGTNTGTTCTGAGGTCATTTATGAAAGAAACATAAGTCCTACAGGAATCAAATCAAATCAGGTTTATTGTCATTTTGCTGTACATACACAGTAGTACAGACAAGATGAGAGAGCGTTTCTTCCGGATCATTTAATTAGCAAGTTTTGCTGAATGAACGTCTGGGATAGGCAAGACAATAAAAGTTTACTCTTGCTGTCTCCTGAAGGGGCGCTGCGTCCATGTGCACCGCCATCACGTTAAAAATGGTGAACCTCTTCAGGTCCTGGTAGGTCTTCAGGGACACAAAGACTCACATGATGTTGTGACAATGGTGAAGCCGTAGATGCTGCCCAGAGCTACCTTACTGTCTGTCCGCCCGGAATAATGTCATCCCCTCCAGCTGTATGTCCTTCTGGGATGTTGTCATAGAGCCATGTTTCTGTTAAATATTCCGGTATACGGTGGGCTCACCAACACAGAACATGAGTCTGTGAAGGTGGACCGACCCTGAACATCTGCAGAGTCCCACATTTATACTGTAAGTCAGAGGGTAAAGGGGGGCCTGTATGTAAATACAGAGGTGAATAGAGGTAAATTAACATACAGTTGCTAATCAAATGGCAGGAGGTAAGGGGGGCAATGAACAACAGGGGGTGGAATCGGGTGCCTGTGACAGGAGGTAGGAAAACACATGACAAAAGGTGGTGGGAAAACACATGGCAACAGGGAATGAATTCAGGGGTCTTTGACCATCACAATAAAAGACAATGGCTTTCTTCTTCAGCAAACACACAGCAGTCTTTCCACTCTCTGTGGGTTTCTCTCAGCAAACGTAGCTCGTCCAGTATGTTGTCGAGGGGACAGACATTGGAGAGTAGGAGGACGGTCCTGCTGGTCTGGAGGGTTAGCCTTTAGCCCAACATGGATCCCGGCTCTCTTCCCCCTCTTTTGTTTACGTGCGTACCGTTTGTACTTCCTTCTCTCTCAGCGTAGTCTCCAATGTCCAAATCACAACCAATCACCACAAGTCCAGCACCATTCACTGCCCTGAAGCCCAGCAAAGTCTCCCGGCTGCATGAATGAACGTTTGAAATAGGCATGAATGAGAGTCATATTGGGTGAAAGAGAACAAAAAATACCAGCATTGTTATGTATAAGCTCTTTATGTAAAGTAAAGATTGTGAGGAGACTACGTTAACACTTAAAGAAAAATTCTGTTCAAAATTTAGAGTGGGTGACCTTCATGCAATATTCTGCATGGAGGTCCTGATTAGGACTGACCTTGTGTGGTGACAGCAATACGATTAGTTTGGAAAAAGCTACATGATAAAAGACAGTCTTAAGAAGAGACTTAAAGCAGGACACTGAACATCTACGGTTAGATGGCACTATATAAGTGTTGCCCATTTACCATTTACCACTGGTTACAATATAGAGGTTTGGAACATACCCAAAATCTGAATGGTAGCAATGTAGCTGTAAAGTTACTTGACAGGTTTCTATGAGCACATAAAATATTTTTATTTGGAGTCAGACTGAGTCATTGAAATCCATCCAGTTGCATCTCTCTTGACTACAACTGTCATTTTAGATCCATCTTTTAAAACTATAGACTAAGTGTTTGAAATCGGTTTTGTGTGGATTTCTATAGTATGGAGTTGCTTTCCTGTATTTTATCAAGAGTCTTTTAATTGGAAAAGCAATATTTATTCATTGCTCTTCATTTTACATTCAGGTTTTGTAATGCTTTCCCTCAAAACCCTGCTCTAGTGAAAATCTGCGCTGGCTCAAAGCTTGGATTTGCTGCTGTTGTGATTCAGCTTGTTGTTTTCTACCATTTTAAGGTGTTGAGTTGAGCCATTCATTAACACTAAACCTAAGACAACAGACAAAATTTTGGCAACCATTTAGTATTTTAACTAAGAACTTTCCTCCATTTTACAAACTCAGAGTAACCGATTTTCCTGTGCTACTTTCTTGCTATACTAACTACAAGTGTCCCTCAACAGCTACCACCAGCACCTCCACTATAGTCAAGACGTCCAGTCATGTGACCCGCTGCAGTGACAGCCAGAGGAACTACTGTGTTAACGGAGGGGAGTGCTTCACCCTTGAAATTATGCCGGGAAGTACAAAGTTTCTCTGCAGGTATGGCATGCACTCAAGGTTGATTTGAGACTTCATTTAAATGAATATGTTATAATGCAGTTACTGTTCTGGTTTATGATAGCTTCTTTGTGTTAAGCTTGTGACAGGAGAAAATACCTTTTGTGGAAAGTCCTAAGGAAGCTACACTGAAAATATTTGTAATAATTACTTTATTACTAATTACTA